AAAAAAAAAACACAAACAAACAAACAAAAAAACCAACAACACACACACACACACACACACACACACACACACACACACACACACACACTCTTATCCCAGGGGCTGAGGATGTGGCTCAGAGGTAGAGTGTGGGGCTCTGGGTTCCATCTTGAGAGACATCACAGGAGAGTGTATTTACCTGGGACCCCTGGGACCTGCAGTGGCCTGGGAGTGTTCATCGCTTGAGGCTCCCTCACCCTGCAGATGATGGTGATGACCTCCAGTGCTCAGGGGATGACTGTGAGGGGTGAATGTGGACAGATGGCTGTAGAGTCCATACAGCCTAAGTCCTCTTCCTCCTAAGTGTTGGGATTGATGGAACCCAGGGCTTTGTGAATGCCATGAAAACCCTCTTCCGGCTGAGTCACATCCCCAGCCTGCCTGGGCTTCCTGCAGTCGGTGACTGGCCTTCTGTGGCAGATCCTGCCCTGTGTCCCCTGGACACCCCCTGTGCCCTCAGCCTTTCCTCGTGGCCTGTGATGCTGTGGGCTCCTGGCTCCCTTGCTGTGAGAAGCTTCTGGACCCCTCCAGGTTCTGACACAGCTGCCTTTGGGCCAAGCACACTGCACAGTGGGAGAGATACTGTTTGCCCCATAAAACCTCATAGGAGTAGAGTGTGGGCACCAGGGAGGGTCTGTGCAGGGCAAGCGAATGCATCTGACAAGTTCTGGGGGTTTCCAGGGAAGATTCAGGACCAGGGCAGGAAGGTGCCTCACTTCCTCCCCCTCTTTTGGGTGTAAAGACAGATCTTGTCCACACAGGTTCAACTCTTAGTGACGTGTACTGTTCCTTTCATGGGGGCCAGGCATCCTTCAGAGTTGGGTAAGGGGCCCGGGGATGGCACATGGCTCTTGCAGAGGACCGGAGTTCAGTGCCCGACACCCATGCCAGGCAGGTCACAACTGCCTGTGACTCCTGCTCTAGGGGACCTGACGCCCTCCTCTGGCAGCCTCAGGAACCTGCACTCACATGTGTAAACTGCCCCCAATTTAAAATCAACGACATCTTTGTAAAATAAGTTGAATAGAGAGTGAGAGCCTGGGGAACAGCTCATTGGGAAGAGGCGTTTGCCACCAACCCTGACCGCAGGGGACCTGGGGATGAGATGGGGCCTTAGCGTGGCCTGGAGAAGCAGGAGGACCCCAGCTGCATCCCGAGGGCTGAGCAGAGCCCTCATACACACGGGGTGCACCTCTGTAGAAGGGCCACCCCTCATGCTGGGGGTGCAAGGTGGGCTTGGTGTGGAGCCCTGGTGGCCTCTCTGTTTAGAATTACAGCGTGCCCCTCCCTTTTCCTCCTCCACAACCCTGGCCTCTCCCCTCAACAGTTCAGGGACCTCTGCACCCCACAGGCTGATGGGAGATCAGATCTGCTTTAGATTCCCAGGGCCTGATAGCCCGCGGTGACCTGGAGAGGGGCATGGCCTTAGGGAGAGCAGATGGGTCTATAGGAGGAGGATCCTGTCCTCGTGACTTCCTGTCCCCTGCCCCCACCCCCACCCCGCGCTCTCCCGGCATATGTCTTCTGTTGGACCTGCCCCCAGAGTTTGTAGTCTGATGCTCAGCTGCAGCTGTAAAGGGTTCTTTGGGGCGACTGAAGCCAGCTTTCCTCGAGGCTGTGACTCTTGTCGTGTCGGGGTGTTCACAATGCACAGGGCTGCTCTCCCACACCTGCTGGTGTGCACAGCCCACCGCCCCCGGAACCCATTCTCCGCTTCCATCAGACTTCAGGCTTTTCCAGCTGAGGCCGCCTTTGGCGAGCTAGAAATTTAGGATGCCATTTTTGGAGTTCGGGCTTACAAAAGTGACAGGTGTCTTGTTTCTTGGCCAAAATGAGAAACTCAGTAGTGATTTCTGTTTCTGGACCTTGATTTTTGTCCTGACCAGAATCAAGAGGCTGAGAAGCATTTAACTTGTTGTATAAGGGTTCCCGGGGGAGGGGTACTCTTATTTGTCATATACGGCAGTGGGGGAGAAGCCGTTCCACAGCAATGTGGTGTTGGGAAAACAGTCCAGACAGGGGGCAATGGTCTAGCCTCATCCCAAAGGGGACTGGGGAGTATAAGCTGTCCCTCACACAGTGGGGATTGCACTGTTAGATGTCTGGATCAGCTGTGAGATGGGGGTGAGCTGGGGAGGCAGGGCAGTCTGCTAAGAATAACTGTCCACACTGGCAAACGCCGGCACAGATGTCACGGAGTGAGGCCTAGAGGCCAGGAACATCTGGTAACTTCCCTAGAGAAAAAAAGGTACCTGTCTTCCCCCAAGGGAGACCTCACCATTGACTCAGCAGACTCCTGGAGGCTCCAATTCTCTCTCTCTCTCTCTCTCTCTCTCTCTCTCTCTCTCTCTCTCTCTCTCTTTCGCCTGCCTCCCTGCCTTCCTTCCTTCCCTTCCTTCCTTTCCTCCTCCTCCTTTTTTGTTTTTTCAAGACAGAGTTTCTCTAGCCGGGCGGTGGTGGCGCACGCCTTTAATCCCAGCACTCGGGAGGCAGAGCCAGGCGGATCTCTGTGAGTTCGAGGCCAGCCTGGGCTACCAAGTGAGCTCCAGGAAAGGCGCAAAGCTACACAGAGAAACCCTGTCTCGAAAAACCAAAAAAAAAAAAAAAAAAGACAGAGTTTCTCTGTGTAACCCTGGTTGTCCTGGAACTCTCTTTGTAGACCAGCTGGTCTCAAACTCACAGAGATCCACCTGCCTCTGTTTCCCGAGTGCTGGGATTAAAGACGTGTGCCACTACACCTGGCAAATTTCTTAAGATTTAGTTTTACTTGCTTGTGTGTGTGTGTGTATGTGTGCACATGTGCGTGTCTTTGCACATGAATGGAGGCCAGAAGGTGGCACCAGGTGTCTTCCTTATTACTTCTGTACCCACTCCTTTGAGGCAGAGGCTTTCCTTGTTCTTCAGACTTGTGTCTCAGCTGGGCTGGAAGGTCCCAGGAACCCTTGTTTCCACCTCCACCATGGCTGGGGTTACAGGTGCCTGTGCAGATGCCCCATTTGTTCTGTGGGTGCTGGGATCTGAACTCCACGCTGCATGAGTACTCAGCAGGGGCTCCTAGGCTCTGAACCATCTCTTCAGCCCCTGGGTCTCTAGTGTTCATGCTGTTCTTCTAGCTGTTTCCTGTCCCACCCCGTGGGCAGGAGGCTGGGAGACTCGGGTTCTGCCCGGGAGCCCTGAGCTCTCAGCTCTGACTGAGCCCCCATCCATCTCTTCTGATTCCACCGCAGATTGCCTCTTCAAAGTGTGCCCCATGAACCGCTACTCGGCACAGAAGCAGTACTGGAAAGCCAAGCAGACTAAGCAGGACAAGGAGAAGATCGCCGACGTGGTACTGCTGCAGAAGCTGCAGGTGTGTGCACGGATGCGCACGGCACTGGGGCGCACCGCACTGGGGCACACGGCACTGGGGCGCATGGCACTGGGGCCCACCGCACTGGGGCGCATGGCACTGGGCGCACGGCACTGGGGCCCACCGCACTGGGGCGCACGGCACTGGGGC